AAAAAAAAAAAAACACATATTTGTTGAACTTTGCTCTCGTCACTTTTATTTTTTTTATTGAGTGAATAAAAAATAATTAAAAAACAAAAACTAAAATATTAATAAATTTAATAATACTTTTTGTTGGTCATACATAACCGTGCTCCTTAACACGCGCTAATAAGTTTTTTATTTTTAAAAAACTCATATTTTATTATATATTTTTCTATCTTATACCTTTAAAATATAAATTAAAAACAAATTTTTTATAATAAATTTATATGAAAAATATAAAAATAAATAATAATTTTAAAATTAATATCATATAAATAAATTTAATTAAATAATTAATAAATTAAATATTATTTTTTATTTTTTCAAAACTCTTAATTAATACTATTAAAATACAAGTTAAAACAACCCTTTCATTATAAAAATCCCATTCCTACTTTGAGGTGTCATAATCTTATTAGCAGCTATTAAGATCAACCTATTGGTATGTGAGCCAGATCCTCTTGTGTCCCCTAATTGGGCTCCCTTCCAGTTGGCTTTGAATGGTCACTAAATATTTAATATATATTTACATTGTTCTTAAACAACTAGTTTTAAATTTAAAATTTGTCTGAATTATATAATTACTCATTCTAGTTGGATCTAATTGTTTTAGTCTCACTTTTATATAAAATTTAGGTAGATAATTTTATATAATAAATAAATAATAATTAAAAAATTTTATATATAATTTTTATTAAGCATTTTCACTTAAATATTTTTTAAAATTTATAAACCATTTAAAAAAAAACTAAACTTTTTCGATTAAAATGAAATTAAGTTGATAGTTAATAGACTAATAATTAAATTAAGCCCATATAAGACTTATTAGGGAAGTTGTGAGTTATAATTTTTAATTTTTTTAATATTTACAATTAGAATCTTTCTAAAGCAATTCTTACGGTAATTAGAGATTAATCCATTTTTCTTTTGCTGTGCAAAAAAAAGAGATTAATCCATTTTGGATGATTTTAAGAGTGGGTATATATATATATTCTTAATTATTTAAATAGTTTAATAATAATTATGATAATTTTTTTTGTTAAAAATAAAAAATTTTGAATTTAACTAATATAATATACGAGTCGAATAAGTTAAAAAGATGAAAAAGTATTGTATCTAGTTACGCAACTAATATTTAAAAAAAAATTATTATTATTATTTTCCTAGAAGGGAGTTCACACCAAAAACAGTAACAAAAGCATTAGGGATGCAGGATTCGTTACCGTGGACGCAACACTAGTGGATGATGGTCGCGTTAGAGAAAAGAAGTACAAATCCAATAGGCGCTAGAATTGCTTGGGGAAGGGAGTATAAAGGCGGTGGTGGTGGTGGTGGCTCCAATTAGGGTTTCCTCTAGGGTTTCGATTTCCTCTTCTCTTCTCTTCTCTTCTCTTTGTTTACTCATCCATCCCCTTTCCTCCTCCGCCGAGCATCGCTAGCTTCAGATCCCAAATCACTCACCCATGGCGGAGCAAGAGCAGCAGCAGCAGCAGGAGCAGCTGGATCACCAATCAAGATCCACTGGCAAGGTCTCGTGGTTTGGCGATTCAAAGGGGTATGGCTTCATAAGCCCCGATGATGGAGGTGAGGATCTCTTTGTCCATCAATCCTCCATTAAATCTGACGGCTATCGTAGCCTGACTGTTGGGGAGTCTGTGGAGTTCACAGTCTCTATTGGTAACGGCGGGAAAACCCAGGCTGTTGATGTTACCGCGATCGGCGGCTCTCCCATCAACAAGAGGGACCGTCGTGGTGGTGGTGGTGGTGGTGGTGGTTGGCGAGGCGGCAACGATAGGAGGAATGCCCCAGGGTGTTATAACTGTGGGGATTTGGATCATCTGGCTAGGGATTGCGACATGGTGAGGTACAACAGCGACAGAAGCAAGAAAAATAACAGTGATTTTAACAATAATGGGGGAGGTGATGATGCTTGTTATAATTGTGGTGGGTTTGGTCATTTTGCTCGGGACTGTAGGAGAGATAACAATGCTGCTGGTGGAGCTGGGAAGTGTTATAATTGTGGGAAGTTTGGGCACTTTGCGAGGGACTGCAACAGTAGGGTAGCAGCTGGTGGTGGTGGTGGTGGTGGTGGTGCCTGCTATGTCTGTGGGAATGTTGGGCATTTAGCAAGGGATTGCAACAGTAGCAGGGGAAGCGGTGGAGCAGCCAGGTTTGAGAGGTTTGATTCAGGAGGTTGCTTCAACTGCGGAGAGAAAGGGCATTTTGCAAGGGAGTGCCCTAACGTGAAGGCCTCAGCTTGATATAGTGGAAAGAAAGAGTAATAGTACATATTCCTCTTTTTTCCTTTTTATGTTTTTATTTTGATGTTTGAGGCCATATATAAGGATATTTCAGTGTTCCAGTGCGTTTTCAGAGAGGATTACCATTTTTTATACATAAGATTGAGTTAGGCTTTTGATTTCACTTTCCTACTGATGTTGATGACTTAATGACTTTGGGAGAAAATTTTCAATTGGGTGGTTCTTCCTTTCAAGTGTGAATTAATATCTTCCATATTCTTTATATTCGCATTTAGCAGATGTGATTTGATGTTTTTCTTTGGTTTAAAACTGTGTTTATCTTGTGTTATTTTCTGTTGCAAACTAAGTGTCAGTTTGATTTACCATTTGGTATCTCTTTTGGCTTGTCATGGCTTAGTTGCTTGTTGCTTTGGTGGCCTTTCCCTCCAGAATATTAGGTGCTTGGTTTCAGACCCTGAATTGCTGGGCATGGGGTTTTTTTCCCTAATAAACAGATGGCTACCAAGTACTAAATGTAACGATTGCCTCATCATCTGTAACATTGTAGTTGTAAAGAGATTTCTGGGTGGCACAATGTTGTATTTTTGTTCTGCTTCTTATTAACATGTGTCTTCCCCCCAACACTTTTACTCTTTTAATGTATTTAGGTAGATGTGGATCATTATATTAGGCAAAAACCTAGTTAAATGTATTCCGGCCGCTGGGCCTTAATGCGCTCTTCAAACCATTTTATAGACTATGGTTGATAGCCATGAACATCCCATGAGTTTTCTGGATTAGAATTCTATATATTGGCCCGATAGCTTTGTACGCAGTCAGTAGTTTTAGTTCTTGTTAATGTCTACAATTTCTTCAGATTATGTGGAACAGTATCAATCAACGTAGTCAAGTTTACAAAGGAATTCTTGATTATGGCCCCTAGCTAAAACATGGTTAAAGCTTTTTTGGTATCTGCTGAGAATGATGCAATGTATGATCAAACCTTACAAGGGATATATGAAGTTTCTGTGATAGATATTCTTCTGGTTTGTGTGCTGTAAATTGTATCAAATTCTTATCGTTGGTGCTTATATTTGATGTTTGAATTGTAATTTCGTGATCGAATCACACCTATGGAGTTAGTTGCTAGTCTCGTGTTTGGTACCATCTAGCAGTTAACTGCTATCCTTGGTGCAATGTAACAGTGGCATTTGAGTAAAGACTGTAGGAGACC